AAAGCTTTCGTGACTGCAGGGATTCATCTTCTTGGTTCTTTCGGTACAGTCACGTAGAATGGAAATAATAAAATAATAAAATAAAAACATAATAAAATAATTCTCACGACGTTTCGGCCACAACGCAAGCAGCCGTCCTCAGGTGAAGAACAGGTCTGTCTTCTCGACAGCCCTGTTCTTCACCTGAGGACGGCTGCTTGCGTTGTACAGACTCACCACACAGAGACCCACAGACTCACCACACAGAGACCCACAGACTCACCACACAGAGACCCACAGACTCACCACACAGAGACCCACAGACTCACCACACAGAGACCCACAGACTCACCACACAGAGACCCACAGACTCACCACACAGAGACCCACAGACTCACCACACAGAGACCCACAGACTCACCACACAGAGACCCACAGACTCACGCAGAGACCCACAGACTCACCACACAGAGACCCACAGACTCACCACACAGAGACCCACAGACTCACCACACAGAGAATCCCACAGACTCATCACACAGAGCCCCACAGACTCACCACCACACAGAGACCCACAGACTCACCACCACACAGAGACCCACAGACTCACACAGAGACCCACAGACTCACCACACAGACATCCATAGACTCACCACACAGAGACCCACAGACTCACCACACAGAGCCCCACAGACTCACACAGAGCCCCACAGACTCACACAGAGACCCACAGACTCACCACACAGAGATCCACAGACTCACCACACAGAGACCCACAGACTCACCACACAGAGACCCACAGACTCACCACACAGAGACCCACAGACTCACCACACAGAGACCCACAGACTCATCACGCAGAGACCCACAGACTCACCACACAGAGATCCACAGACTCACCACACAGAGACCCACAGACTCACCACCACACAGAGACCCACAGACTCACACAGAGACCCACAGACTCACCACACAGAAACCCACAGACTCACCACACAGAGCCCCACAGACTCACACAGAGACCCACAGACTCACCACACAGAGACCCACAGACTTACACAGAGCCCCACAGACTCACACAGAGACCCACAGACTCACCACACAGAGACCCACAGACTCACCACACAGAGACCCACAGACTCACCACACAGAGACCTACAGACTCACCACACAGAGACCCACAGACTCACCACACAGAGACCCACAGACTCACACAGAGACCCACAGACTCACCACACAGAGACCCACAGACTCACCACACAGAGACCCACAGACTCACCACACAGAGAATCCCACAGACTCATCACACAGAGCCCCACAGACTCTCCACCACACAGAGACCCACAGACTCACCACCACACAGAGACCCACAGACTCACACAGAGACCCACAGACTCACCACACAGACACCCATAGACTCACCACACAGAAACCCACAGACTCACACAGAGCCCCACAGACTCACACAGAGACCCACAGACTCACCACACAGAGATCCACAGACTCACCACACAGAGACCCACAGACTCACCACACAGAGACCCACAGACTCACCACACAGAGACCCACAGACTCACCACACAGAGACCCACAGACTCATCACGCAGAGACCCACAGACTCACCACACAGAGACCCACAGACTCACCACACAGAGACCCACAGACTCACCACCACACAGAGACCCACAGACTCACACAGAGACCCACAGACTCACCACACAGAAACCCACAGACTCACCACACAGAGACCCACAGACTCACCACACAGAGCCCCACAGACTCACACAGAGACCCACAGACTCACCACACAGAGACCCACAGACTCACACAGAGCCCCACAGACTCACACAGAGACCCACAGACTCACCACACAGAGACCCACAGACTCACCACACAGAGACCCACAGACTCACCACACAGAGACCCACAGACTCACCACACAGAGACCTACAGACTCACCACACAGAGACCCACAGACTCACCACACAGAGACCCACAGACTCACCACACAGAGCCCCACAGACTCACACAGAGACCCACAGACTCACCACACAGAGACCCACAGACTCACCACCACAGAGACCCACAGACTCACCACACAGAGACCTACAGACTCACCACACAGAGACCCACAGACTCACCACACAGAGACCCACAGACTCACCACACAGAGACCCACAGACTCACCACACAGAGACCCACAGACTCACCACAGAGAGCCCCACAGACTCACACAGAGACCCACAGACTCACCACACAGAGACCCACAGACTCACACAGAGCCCCACAGACTCACACAGAGACCCACAGACTCACCACACAGAGACCCACAGACTCACCACACAGAGACCCACAGACTCACCACACAGAGACCCACAGACTCACCACACAGAGACCTACAGACTCACCACACAGAGACCCACAGACTCACCACACAGAGACCCACAGACTCACCACACAGAGCCCCACAGACTCACACAGAGACCCACAGACTCACCACACAGAGACCCACAGACTCACCACCACAGAGACCCACAGACTCACCACACAGAGACCTACAGACTCACCACACAGAGACCCACAGACTCACCACACAGAGACCCACAGACTCACGCAGAGACCCACAGACTCACCACACAGAGCCCCACAGACTCACACAGAGACCCACAGACTCACCACACAGAGACCCACAGACTCACCACCACAGAGACCCACAGACTCACCACACAGAGACCTACAGACTCACCACACAGAGACCCACAGACTCACCACACAGAGACCCACAGACTCACCACACAGAGACCCACAGACTCACCACACAGAGACCCACAGACTCACCACACAGAGACCCACAGACTCACCACACAGAGACCCACAGACTCACCACACAGAGACCCACAGACTCACCACACAGAGACCTACAGACTCACCACACAGAGACCCACAGACTCACCACACAGAGACCCACAGACTCACCACACAGAGCCCCACAGACTCACACAGAGACCCACAGACTCACCACACAGAGACCCACAGACTCACCACACAGAGACCTACAGACTCACCACACAGAGACCCACAGACTCACCACACAGAGACCCACAGACTCACCACACAGAGAGCCACAGACTCCCCAGTGGCGATGTTCACACACCACAGCAGTTACTCGTTTGAGGCTGAATCGACCTAGGAGAGGCCCAGGACCGGTTGAAATAATCGTCACCGGTGGTGGCCGTGAGCGGGAATCGAACTCGGGTCGCCGGGTTCGTAGCGCTACCCGCTACACTACACCGCGTGATGCTGCCACGTGCGCGGGTCACGTGACAGATGTGACGTCACAGCTCACTTGCCGTGCAAAAAAATTTGCATTATTGAGCTCCAACCCCCCCCCCCCCCCCCCCCCAAAAAAAAAACTCACAAAAGTGTATTTTTTAAATGTTTACACGGTGTACATTCTGGAAAATACCCACGGGGCAAATTTCCAGTTTTTTTGTATGTCGGAAAGTACGCTAAACATTTTGAACAGACGCACATATTCACAACGCCGTACCGGGTACGCGTTTAAGGCTGAGTCGACCTAAGGGAGGACCAAACACCTGGTGCAAATGTTGGGATTGGGATCCGATGGTGGTGCGCTCACCACTCCACACCAACAACGCACACGTGTCTCTCCCCCCCATATTCACAACTTTTCCTTTTCGATCTATGGATATAAATAAGAAATATTCACATAACTCAGGCATGTCCAAAGTCCGGCCCGCGGGCAGATTTCATACGGCCCGCAGTTTCGGTCTTATAATGTGTTAGTTATGGCTCGCCAGCTCTGTCAGAATAAATACATCATAAAACTCATGGAAATTTTAGGTATTCTATACAGTTTGTTCAATGTTATCTGACTGAATGAAAGGCAGAATTGCGTTTTTAGAGTTGGTCACGTTCTGCCCGAGTGGCTTATATTTGGTTACATTGTCATTTGAAAACTAAAGGTAATTGTGACAATGAAAATTGTTTTGTAACAGTGTGTGTCTTCTTCTTGGTTCTTTCGGTAAAGTCACGTAGAAGGGAAGTAATAAAATAATAAAAATAAAACATAATAAAATAATTCTGTCGAGGCGACAGACCTGGTTTCACCTGAGGACGGCTGCTTGCATTGTGGTCGAAACGTCGTGAGAATTATTTTATAATATTTTATTTTTATTATTTTATTACTTCCCTTCTACGTGACTTTACCGAAAGAACCAAGAAGATGAATCCCTGCAGTCACGAAAGCTTTAAATCGAAACAGTGTGTGTATTTCCACGTAACTTTTGTGGTTACAAAAATGTCAAAAGGAACTATTGGCCCCCCGGGCATCTTCGCTTTATCAAATGTGGCCCTCTTTGCAAAAAGTTTGGACACCCCTGTTGTAACTGAACAAGAAAGTGTGCGGGAGAAATCGAATCAGCGTCGACTGAGAACCACGATGTTGATTTAATTCTAGATTTGAAGCTTTCGTGACTGCAAGGGAGTTCATACTCTTAGTTCTTTCGGTAAAGTCACGTAGATTAAAAATTGAAATAAAAATAAAACAATAATAAAAATCACGACGTTTCGGAGGCAACACAAGTCTCCGTCATCAGGTGGGACAGTCACAGCCAGATTTGCTGCATCAAGTGACGCAGCAAATCCATCAAAGTGCATCAGGTGGGACAGTCACAGCCAGATTTGCCCACTCACTTGATGCAGCAAATCTGGCTGTGACGGTCCCACCTGATGACGGAGACTTGTGTTGCCTCCGAAACGTCGTGATTTTTGTTGTTTAATTTTTATTAATTTTTATTTAATTTTTTACCTACATGGTGACTTTACCGAAAGAACTAAGAGTACGATGTTGATTTGGCCTGCATGCGGTAGGTGGGGTTGGTGGTGGTGGTGGTGGTTGTGGCATAAGAACAGAAACAAATACGGCCAATAAATCTCCGAGTTCCTTGGGGGAAGCAGGAAGGGAACACGGGGGTGGTGGGTGGTGGGTGGTGGTGGTGGAGTGATAGCGGTCGATTTCCTGTGGTCCCCTAGAATTGTCCAAAACAAACACGTGGGTCACCGCCGGGAACATTCGGAACATGGCTCGCTGATTCACGCGGACGACAAACCGGTGATCGTGTGTCTGTCATGTGTGTGTGTGTGTCTGTCATGTGTGTGTGTCTGTCATGTGTGTGTGTGTGTCTGTCATGTGTGTGTGTGTGTCTGTCATGTGTGTGTGTCTGTCATGTGTGTGTGTCTGTCATGTGGAGATGGGGGGGGGGGGACACGTGTGTGTGTGTGTGTGTGTCTGTCATGTGGAGATGGGGGGGGGGGACACGTGTGTGTGTGTCATGTGGAGGTGGGGGGGGGGAGACACGTGTGTGTGTGTGTGTCATGTGGAGGTGGGGGGGGGAGACACGTGTGTGTGTGTGTCTGTCATGTGGAGGTGGGGGGGGGGAGACACGTGTGTGTGTGTGTCATGTGGAGGTGGGGGGGGGGAGACACGTGTGTGTATGTCATGTGGAGGTGGGGGGGGGGGAGACACGTGTGTGTGTGTGTGTCATGTGGAGGTGGGGGGGGGGAGACACGTGTGTGTGTGTCATGTGGAGGTGGGGGGGGGGGGAGACACGTGTGTGTATGTCATGTGGAGGTGGGGGGGGGGGAGACACGTGTGTGTGTGTGTCATGTGGAGATGGGGGGGGGGAGACACGTGTGTGTGTGTGTGTGTCATGTGGAGGTGGGGGGGGGGAGACACGTGTGTGTGTGTGTCATGTGGAGGTGGGGGGGGGGAGACACGTGTGTGTGTGTGTCATGTGGAGGTGGGGGGGGGAGACACGTGTGTGTGTGTGTCATGTGGAGGTGGGGGGGGGGAGACACGAGTGTGTGTGTGTGTCATGTGGAGGTGGGGGGGGGGGACACGTGTGTGTGTGTGTCATGTGGAGGTGGGGGGGAGACACGTGTGTGTGTGTGTCATGTGGAGGTGGGGGGGGGGGAGACACGTGTGTGTGTGTCATGTGGAGGTGTGGGGGGGGAGACACGTGTGTGTGTGTGTGTGTCATGTGGAGGTGGCGGGGGGGGGAGACACGTGTGTGTGTGTGTCATGTGTAGGTGGGGGGGGGGAGACACGTGTGTGTGTGTGTGTGTCATGTGAAGGTGGGGAGAGACACGTGTGTGTGTGTGTGTCATGTGGAGGTGGCGGGGGGGGGGGGAGACACGTGTGTGTGTGTCTGTCATGTGAAGGTGGCGGGGGGGGGGAGACACGTGTGTGTGTGTGTCATGTGTAGGTGGGGGGGGGGGAGACACGTGTGTGTGTGTGTCTGTCATGTGAAGGTGTGGGGGGGGGAGAGACACGTGTCCGTTGTTGGTGGGGAGTGGTGAGCGCACCACCATTGAATCCAAATCCCACACATCATCAACAATAGTGGCAAACATTTGCACCGGTGTTTGGTCCTCCCTTAGGTCGACTCAGCCTTAAAGGCGTACCTAGTGCGGCGTGTAAACATCAGCACTCGGTATGACGTCGCGGCCTTCATAGGTGGTGCTGCTGCTCGCTAACCAGGGCCGTATTGTCAAATAGGTCACAGTCGGCACCGTGCCTAGGGTCTACTCACTCACCCACTCACCCACCCACCCACCCACTCATTCACTCACCCACTCACTCACTTACCCACTCACTCACTCAGCCAGCCACTCACCCACCCACTCATTCACTCACCAAGCCATTCACTCACTCACCCACTCACCCACCCACCCACCCACTGATTCACTCACCCACTCACTCATTCACCCACTCATCCACCCACTCACTCACTCACCCAGCCACTCACCCAGCCACCTACTCACGCACCCACCCACTCACCCACTCACTCACTCATTCACCCACTCAATCATTCACCCACTCATTCACTCACCCACTCATCCACTCACCCACCCACCCACTCACCCACTCACTCATTTACCCACTCAATCATTCACCAACTCACCCACTCACTCACTCATTCACCCACTCAATCATTCACACACTCATTCACTCACCCACTCATCCACTCACCCACCCACCCACCCACCCATTCACCCACCCACCCACCCACTCACTCACTCACCCACTCACTCACCCACCCACCAGGGCAGCATTATCAAATATGCCACAGTAGGCACCGTGCCAAGGGTCTACTCACTCACTCAGCCAGCCATTCACCCACCCACCCACTCACCCATCCACTCACCCACCCATTCATTCACTCACCCACTCACTCATTCACCCATTCACTCATTTACCCACTCACTCACTCACCCACTCACTCATTCACCCATTCACTCATTTACCCACTCACTCACTCACCCACTCACCCAGCCACCTACTCACCCACGCATTCATTCACCCAATCATTCACCCACCCACCCACTAGGGCCATATGATCCAACTTCGAAACTAAAAGTGCTACGGAAATGAGTTTTTTTCCATGGTTTCTTTGTATGATAAAACAAATTAACGACATCCTTTTGAAGCTGCGTCATCCGATACGAAAAAAAACCAGTTGAAATTTGCTAAAAAAAAAGTTTACATTTGTATAATTTTTTGAGGCTTACCTTTTTTTTTATCACTCAATAATTTCAAAATAAATCTCGCTTCTCTGCGGCATCACGCAGCGACCGCCACCCCCATCGAACGAGGGACACGGACTGAGCGAGGATGGACCACATCTGCAGTGCACGACGACTTGTCCAGCGGCTGGACCGAGTCCCAAGTGAGAAGCAAGCAGAGTGACCGCGGCGGTGGCGGTGGTGGTGGCAGTGACATGGGCACTACTACACGCACCTGCCATAGGGCCTACAAGAACCTTAATCCGGCACTTTCGCTAACGGCACTTGCCCCAGACACCCGTGTCGGCTACACGTGTGTGTGGGGATCTTTGTCTGTGTTTCATAGGCACAGTAGGGGGCACAGGTGTTTGTGGCACCTGCTGGGTCTGTCCCGTGACCTCCTGGTGCACCTAGCCTGGCACAGCAGGGGGGCACAGGTGGTGCATTGGCCAGTCATCTCAGTCAGTCGACCCGTGGCACCTGCTGGGTCTGTCTCGTGACCTCCTGGTGCACCTAGCCTGGCACAGCAGGGGGGCACAGGTGGTGCATCGGCCAGTCATCTCAGTCAGTCGACCCGTGGCACCTGCTGGGTCTGTCTCGTGACCTCCTGGTGCACCTAGCCTGGCACAGTAGGGGGGCACAGGTGGTGCATCGGCCAGCAGTCATCTGAGTCAGTCGACCCGTGGCACCTGCTGGGTCTGTCCCGTGACCTCCTGGTGCACCTAGCCTGGCACAGCAAGGGGGCACAGGTGGTGTATCGGCCAGCAGTCATCTCAGTCAGTCGACCCGTGGCACCTGCTGGGTCTGTCCCGTGACCTCCTGGTGCACCTAGCCTGGCACAGTAGGGGGGCACAGGTGGTGCATCAGCCCAGTCATCTCAAGTCAGTCGACCCGTGGCACCTGCTGGGTCTGTCCCGCACCTAGCCTGGCACAGTAGGGGGGCACAGGTGGTGTATCAGCCCAGTCATCTCAGTCAGTCGACCCGTGGCACCTGCTGGGTTTGCCACGTGACCTCCTGCCAGCGGGCGTTCAATACTTCACGTGACCGCGGCGATCGTGCCAGGCTGGGTGCACCTGGAAAGCGAGGCCATGGGTTGACAAACCCAAATGGTGGTGGGGGGCGGTGGTGGGGGGTGACGTTGTGGGTATGCGTTGGGTCACCAGGTGCTCGCAGACACAGAAGGCAGCTGGGCAAACACTCCTGGGCCTCCCCCAGCCCCCCCCCCCTCCTGTGGGTCCTGTGGGGGGGGGGGGGAGGCAGCGGCAGCCGCTTTGATGAGGTCCCCAAAGTGGAGCGGTGGGACGGTGGAAATTCCCTCCCTCGCGAGAGAGGGAAATCGTTCCGACACTCGAGGGGGACGGCCAACAAGCAGGCAACACAAAGCGAGGCCTGACCACGCCACACAAAGCGAGCCCTCTTTGTGACTCTCACCCTCCGAGTGGGGGAGGAGGAGGGGGGTGAGGTGGTTGGGTGGGGGTTAGGGACAAACGTTCAAGGAGGAGATGGAGTCACGAAGTCGGAGAGTGGGTAGCCTTTCCATGACGTCGCTCCAGCCAGCGCTGTGCCACGCGCCAGCGATCGGTGTTGGTGGGACGCGTGGAGATCTGTGAATCACCTCCTTGACCCACCCACCCACGCCGCTCCGGTGTTGTAGGGGAGGTGGCAATATAACGAGGAGTGGATTCGTGAATCCACTCCGTGCGGAGTTTTGAGAGTGTCCCCCCCCTCCCTTGCCACCCCACCGCCACCACCCCCAACTCCCCCGTCCACTTTAACACGTGGCAGGCTTTCGCGACCAATATTATTCATAATCAAGGTGATTCATCTTCTTGGTTCTTTCGGTAAAGTCACGTAGAAGGGAAATAATAAAATAATAAAAATAAAACATAATAAAATACAATTCTCACGACATTTCGGCCACAACGCAAGCAGCCGTCCTCAGGTGAAGAACAGGTCTGTCGGAAAGACAGCGTCTGAATGAAACACCACCAAGCTTGGCAGCATATATTTAAGCTGGTATTTTTACTGTTTCCCTTCTACGTGACTTTACCGAAAGAACCAAGAAGATGAATCCCTGCAGCTCTAGTAGTCTTTGGCCGCTGGCATTCATTTTTCAGATGCCATGATGAACAAGGTAAGCTGAAGTCTCCCAACAGAAACACGTGCTCAGAGCTGCGGATTTCGTGAATAATATTGTGAAGCTCCTCGTAGAACTGGTCATGAATCTCAGGAGGTGAGCAGAGTGTCGGGGCGTAGACACTCAGGATGTTTACGTGGCCGGAAGCAGTGAGAATTCTCGTGAGCAGAATCCGCTCCGAGCTTGCGGTTGGTGGTTCTATCATGCCAAGGAGTGTGCTTTTGATGGCAAAACCAAGACCATGCTACGCATTTCACAAATTAGCACTATTCGCATTCCTGCATTTCCCATAAATATGTTAAATTCCTCTTGATATGCAGATTATTTTGTCAAGGCGCATTCCCCCCCCCCCCTTCCAACCCAGCTTAAATAGACGCTCCAAGCGTGGTGGTGTTTCATTTAGACGCTGTCGCCTCGACAGACCTGGTCTTCACCTGAGGACGGCTGCTTGCGTTGTGGCCGAAACGTCGTGAGAATTGTTTTATGTTTTATTTTTATTATTTTATTACTTCCCTTCTACGTGGTGACTTTACCGAAAGAACCAAGAAGACAAGACCGTGTTGCCTCGGTGCGTTGTGCTGTTTGACCTGCCAGTAGAAAGTGTAGTCCCTCCCTCGTAGTGAGCCACTGCCAGCAAGCCGGGTCTCCTGCAGCGCTGCAATATCAACAGCTCCCTGTCGATAACTGCGGTCTTGCGGATGTCCTCAATCTGCAATAGATCTTCGGAGAGCCCAGGACGCATTGCACGTACATTCCAGCTCGCAGGATGAAGGGCTTGGACATTCTTTCCTTTTGTTTTTGCTTTTGCCTGGTGCAGATCATACAGCCCAGTTGTCTGCTGATGAACCATAGGCTCCAAGCACCCATGTGAGCAGGTGAGCCGTGGCGGGAACGCACCTCATTGGCCGGGGGCTGCCCAGCTTGAGGCGCGTGGCGGTAGTTTTCCATTGGGGTGCAATGACCTCTCCCGTCGGCGATGGCGACCCTTGGCGGCCATTTTTAAATCCTTTATATTAAGTTCGCTTGCTTGCGTGCTTGCTTGCTTGCGTGCTTGCTTGCTTGCTTAGGACCGTGCAAATCTTTCGGTCGTTTTTTAACCCACTTCCCGTGATCCAATCGAGCTGACATTTTGCACACAGACTCGTTGTGCCAGACAATTATTGTTCGTGAAAAAAAAATCCCAAAATGTTACACTTTTTAGGCAAAAAAAATTTATTTTACATATATTCAAATAGAACGCATTCATGGCTTTGGCTGAACGTCAGAGTGTAAGAGCCCAGAGCGTAACCCTTCCACCGGCCGTGGCGGAGTAGCGCAGTTGGTAGCGCCCTCGCTTCCCATGCCAAAGGTCGCGGGATCGATCCCCGTGTCCTCCACAGGCGAATATATTTTTAAAATCCTTTATATTAAGTTCACTTCCTTGCTTGCTTGCGTGCTTGTGTAAAGTAGTAACTCGGCAGGAGACGACTTCACGGGTAGCACACTCTTTATTTTCACCAACTTGTAGTTACACGGATGACTAACACCCTACTTCGTTACACGGGTGACCAACACCCACTTAGCTACACGGGTGACGGACACCCACTCAGCTACACGGGTGACTAACACCCACTCAGCTACACGGGTGACCAACACCCACTCAGCTGTACTGACACGGGCTCTTACGCCCCGTAGCCTTCCGGGACACACCCAGCCGGGGTGCCCGTCTCGGCTCTGGGTACCACCGTCCCGACCCACACGGGCGTCGGACCACGGTCCCCCCAGTCTCGGCTCCGAGCCACACAGGGCCCCGGTCCCCACAAGGACGGCGGGACTAGGGGTCTCGGGCCACTACCTCCTCCACCCCGTCTTCGGTCTTCAACTGGTTAACACTGACCACGAGTGCTCTCGCGCGTCTCCCTTTATACCCCTCCTGCGGACGTCGCTGAGAGTACCCACTTATCTGACCAATCACTGCGCACTCGCTACGATCCTCTTTTCCCAGCTTGTGTGAGCGCGCCTTACCACCGGCGCGCGCGTCCATGCCACGCCCACATCGCGTGCCCAACCCCGCGCCCCGTGATCCATCACTGTCGGCACACGTCAATACCACCACTACATCACCCCCTACCACATAGCTCGCAGCCGACCCGGCTGCTAATAAAACATACAACACCCCTTCACCCCCATGTGTGCCCCGTAACATAACAACAAACCCTAACAACACAACATGAACACCGCAATCCGCAAAACCCAGCAACCGCCACACCCCCAACAAGAACAACATGCACAATCCGGCGAGTGGCAACGATACTGTGTATGCGGAAAGAATAACAATAAAAAAATGTCTTTCTTCATTTCCTCTCCTTTTCTCTCCGACTCATGCAGCGTCCCAATGTGTCCGAGCGTCCCTTGAACGGGACATTACCCCGGCAGAGGGGGAAGCCGGCAACGAGGTCGGGCTTTAACAAAAAAAAAAATGTTTTTTTTTTTTTTTTCATGAAAAGTGTTGCGTCCTTGCCCGAGTCCGCCTTGCCGGTCCGTCGTACGGCACCAGACGCAGTTGGCCATCCGGTGGCGCCGGCAGTTCAGGAAGGCATGGGCCAGGCATCGGGGCACCGCGCGAGCCGCGGGGTTCCGGTTCCCAACGGTCAACAGCCGTCAGGTCCGAGACACCTGGGGGTGGGTCAGGTGGAGACACGTGAGGATCAGCCTGCGACACATCCCTCCCCGTGTCGACGGTCACATCACACGCTCGGTCGTCACGGCACAACCCGGGGTCACGCGGCGCCGCGTAGGGTTTCAGTCGGGAGGGGTGCACGTACCAACGGCGTTTTCCCCATTTAATCTGTATACTCTGGGGTCGTGCAACCCGCACAATTTCCACCGGTCCCCTCCATGGTCTCAACAGTTTGGGGGACGTAGCCAACGGTGCGTGTGGACAATGCAGCCAGGCCTTATCGCCCGGTTCCCAATTGTGCGTATGCATCTTCCGTTCATGCAATCGCTCGTTCGCGATCTGCCGAGAGCGTGAATTCAATCTCGCAGCCTCTCGCGCCTCAGCCAATTTGGCAATGTTAAACTTAATGTGGTCTCCAAATTTTGATTTAGCACGTGGCTGTGAAATCCCCAGTTGGACGTCCATGGCCGGATCAGCCTCCCGCCCATACATCAGAAAAAATGGAGAAAACCCCGTCGCCGCATGGGGTGCCATCCGATAGGCCGCTAGTACCCCCGGTACCTGTAAGTCCCAATCCACCTGGTCGTCGCATACCTGTTGGCACAGCATAGACGTAATCGTCCTGTTCAGACGTTCAACCATACCGTCAGTCTGCGGGTGGTACGGGGAGGTACGTACTTTCTTTGTACCCAACAGGTCGCACACCTCGCGCAACAAAACACTCGAAAAGTTTTTCCCTTGATCCGTCAGCAAGCGTTCGGGGGCGCCTTTGTCCAAAACGTAACCTTGGACAAAGGCGTCCGCCACTGCCGCAGCCGACTGGTTGGCGAGTGGCCACGCCATGGGCCAGCGGGTGAAGTACTCTACGCCAACCAGCAGGAACTTATTTCCCCGAGGTGTAGCGGGAAAGGGCCCCAAGATGTCTAGCGCGACCAATTCGTTCGTGCGCGAAACTTGAATGGATTGAAGCGGTGGATTTGCCGCTATTGGTGGCGGTTTTCTTTTAGCGCACCCTACACACCCCTTAAGAATGTTCGCCACGTCATTTCCCATCCCAGGCCAATAGTAGTCTCGCTGAATGAGGGCGAGCGTTTTGTGAAACCCCAGATGCATGAGTCGTTCATGGGCAGCCAGGACGACCTTACCCCGTACAGCAACCGGCACCACAATCATGTGACGCCGGGACATGGAGTCCCACTTCATCAAGAGGCCCTGTCTGCACACCCAGGAACCGACCCGCGTTTCCCCGCCCTCGGGAACGTCAACCTTCCGACGTAGCGCGAGTAGGGAGCTGTCGGCCATTTGCAGACGGCCCCACTCGATGAGAGGCAACGCTAACAGCGAGTCCCTCCCCGTGGGGGCGTCGACCCCCGTAGTATCCGTGGCGGCGAGCACAACTTCCGCGGGGACAGCGACAGAGGGTTTACACCGCGCCGATCCTAACTGACATGCGCATTCCGTACGCGTCGGCAACCGTGACAATGCATCCGCATTCGAGTGTCGCAACCCCTTGCGGTAAATCGTCGTGAATTGGTAGTCCTGAAGGACCTCCAACCATCGGGACAATTGGCCGGATGGCTGCGCCACCCGCATAGCGTATTGGAGAGCCGCATGGTCCGTGCGAACCGTAAAGTGACGGCCATACAGATACGGCCTGAATTGCTGAATAAAAACCACAATCGCCAGCAATTCACGCCGTGTCACGCAGTAGCGTTGTTCCGCGGGGGACAGAACCCTGCTACCGTAGGCGACCACCCGTTCGACCCCCCCGACCACCTGTGAGAGCACTCCCCCGATACCCGTGTTACTGGCATCCGTGTCGAGCACAAACGGTTGCGTGAAATCGGGGTAACACAAGGGGGGAGCCTGCACCAAGGCGTCACGAAGGGAGCAGAACGCGGCCTCCTCCTCCGGCCCCCAGTGAAACCGCACCCCTTTAGCTGTCAAGGCGTGCAGGGGCCTGGCTATGGTGGCAAACTGCTTGACAAAACGACGGTAATAGGAGGCAAATCCTATGAAGCTGCGGACTTCAGTAACAGAGGTCGGTGTTGGCCATGAGCCGACGCATTGCGTCTTAGCAGGGTCCGTCGAGATCCCTGAACGGCTAACGATATGGCCCAAATACCTGACCGATTTCCGAAGCAGAAAACATTTAGCCGGTTTAAATTTAAGCTTCGCGGAACGCATCCTGAGAAACACTGCTCTCAGTCGCTGGAGGTGCTCCTCAAAAGTTCGGCTGAAAACGATGATATCATCGAGGTAAATCAAACAGGTGTCCCATTGAAGGCCTGACAAAACCAATTCCATGAGCCTCTGGAACGTGGCAGGAGCGGAATGTAAACCCATGGGCAATCGGTTGAACTCAAATAGGCCTCCCGGTGTCCGGAAAGCGGTTTTAGGTTTTGATTCGTCATCGAGGGGCAATTGCCAAAATCCCGAAAGCAAATCGAGCGTCGAAAAAAACTGTGCTCCTGCCAAGGCATCCAGCGACTCATCCATCCTGGGGAGCGGATACGCATCGGCCATTGATATTTTGTTTAGGCGGCGGAAATCAACACAGAACCGCAGGGATCCATCCTGTTTTTTAACCAAGACGATAGGAGCACCCCACGGACTGGAAGAGGGCGCAATGATGTCGGCCGCCAACATGTCATTTACCGCCGACTGCACATGCTCCTTCTCGGCTGGACTGAGCCGGAAGGGATTCTGTCGAATAGGGGCCGCGTCCCCAGTCTCTATGTGGTGGCGCAACAGGTCTGTGCAGCCAATGTCGTACTTGTGCCTGCTAGACACGTCAGCGAACTCGAGCAGCAAGCCCCTCAATGCACCCAACTGCACACTGGACAAGGTACTGGACCCGGCACACAACGAGTCCAACCACTCTGTCCCCTCCTCACTTTGGGGATGCGTATCGACATTTGAATCGGCGTGAGCAACGAGCTGTTCCTCGACGGGTAGCGGCGCGGCGTGAGCGAGCACCGTTCCCTGCGTAATCACGGCCGGCCGCGACCCCGTATTCAGGACCACAACGAACGGCTCACTGTCCCCCCTTACCATGGTCTGGGCCACCGCTAAGTCGAGGTCCCCTTTAGCCCTGTTAGACGGCCCCAATAGAACTCCCTGCGCCCCCGCATCCGCCCCAAGGGGTTTTCTCAACCGAAGGGGTACCAACATTTGCGATCCCGGGGGCACCCGTACAGTCCGGGTTGCCAGCGC